GGCACCTGCCGCTACAGTCCAGAGTCCAGTTACGGTAACTTTGGGGGGGCCTTATTTTCGGGGGAATGCCTTATATTTCAGCGAGAGGCAAAACTGTAAATAGGCCTTATTTTCAGGGGACGTCTACTTTCGGGGAAACAGGGTAGGAGCCTAGACTGTTGAGGCCCGTGACCCGGCTTCCAACCTTGGTTCTGACTCCACCGAGCTGTGTGGTCTTGGCCCAGACACTGCAGCCCCCCCCCCACCCAGCAGAATTCTCCTCTCCGTTTGGATCAGCCTACGCTCTCATTTGTGAAGCGCAGAGAGTGGTGAAGCCTGAGCGGTGAATGCTCGGGGGTTGGGGCGGTTCAGTAGGGGAAGTCCCATCTTCCATGCAGGGGACCCCGGTTCAGTGCCCGGCCAGTGCACTTCCTGGGCATCGAGAGCCCTGTTGGGCTGCTAACCGCAAGACCAGTCATTTGAAACCTATCCCATAAAGAGGTCCCGTCTCGGAAATCCACGGGCAGTTCTACCTTGTCCTGTCAGTCCTGTGAGTCAGACCTGACGCGATGCAGGGAGGTGTGTTTTGTTAGTTTGGTTGTCATGGCGAGCTACCACTCGTCTGTCGAGGGAAGCTGGCGTGCTTCTCTGACTTCTCTGACGCTGACCAGGTTTCAGCTTCCTGACCACCGCAGACAAGGAAGCCGGCCTGGCAGCCTGCTTCTGACGACCAGCCCGTGAAAGCCTGCAGCTCCCTGAGGCCCGATCTGTAACCGCTCACGGGGCTGGCGCAGGACTGGGCCACGTGTCCTTGTGTTGTGTGTGGGGTCGGCATGAGTCAGGGGACTGGGTGGTTGGCTGGTTCCGATGGCAGCTACCAACCAATGATGACGGCGAATGGGTGCTGTTGTGATGAGTGTTGTGACGTGTCTGTGTGTGTTCCCATCCATTACAGTTGACTCTCATAAACCCTGTAATGAAACGAGAGACTTCAGGAGCAGAAAGCAAAGAGCCAGCTGGTGGCAGGGTGCATTCCACTTGGGGAAGAGTAGGCACAGAGGTTAGGACGGCCCAGGCTTTGGTGGCCGGAGCGAGTGGGGAGAGCTTCGCTCATTGCTTGGTGGGGAGATGTCTGGCCAGGAAGCCCGCTGGGGCCCCAGGGCTCTTGGCTTCAGGACCCCTCTCTGGACCAGGATCAACCCCGCTCCTGGCTCTGAGCACTTGGGCGTCTGCCCCATCTCATCCCTGCCTCTGTGCCCTCAGCCCTGTGCTTCCCTGCACCCACGTGCTGCATCCAGGTTCTCACTGGGAGCACCGTAAGCAGAGTGGCCTTGGCAGCTGGGCAGCCCTGGGGATGGGCCAAGGAGGCACAGAGATAGCGGCCCTCAGTGGGCCAAAGGGGGCCCAGGGAGCTCGGAGGAGGTGGGTGTCTGGAATGAGGGGCCTGAGTGTGACCCAGGAAAGCCAGAGAGAGGGGTGTCTAGCTGGGTGCCCCAGACCCGGAGGGGCCCTTGGCATTGGGTGAAAGGAGGCCCGTGCCCATGACATACAGGTTTTCCGGGATCCCGGGTTGATGACTGCCAGTGCACTGGGGTAGTCCTGCTCTGGAGCTGCTGAGGAGGGCATGTAGGTGCTGGCGGGCACAGGCTCTCAGCCAAGACCTCTCTCTGCTGCTGAAACTTTAGCCTTGCACTCCTAATTGCATTTCTGGCCTTCTTTTAGCAGGAGCGCGGCTGGGACGGTGCTGGTCAGAGCTGGACCTTGTCTGATGGCTTCCCCCAACTCTCTACCACAAGCTGCCACAGGTACGGTGTCTCGGCCTTCCTGCCCGGCCTGTCCGTCCTCAGAAGTGGGGCATGCGGGCTGGTGGGGTGGGGGTGGAGACCGCCGGCGTTGGAGCCAGGCTGGCTCCAGCTGTGAATCCCAGCTCTGCTGGTTGCCTGTGGTGAGTGGCCTCACCTCTCTGTGTTCTTGTCTATAAAATGGACACAATGATCTCTGCCTTGCAGAGTAGGCTCTGGACGAGGCCCCTGTGGGTGAGCAGAGCTAGGATGACGTTAGAGAGACCTCTGGGGCTGAAGCGTCTAAATCAGGGATGGGGGGGAGGGAGCCCAGGGCTGAGGGTCGGGGGTTCAGGGCCAGCCACCTTCTCCCTAGTAAGGCCAGGTCATCTAGCAGTGGTAAGATTTCCAGATTTAGGGAAAAAAGAAAAAGACTACTTCTATTACAACCTATTTACTGCTGATCTGAAATGCAAATTGAACTTGGTACCCTGTGTTTGCTCTGGCAGCCCCGGCAGTGGGGCCTGCAAGGCACCGTGGGTGGAAAGTTCAGGCCCCTCCCTGGCAGTGGACACCAGCCAGGGCCTCGGCTGCCTGTCCTGCGGCCTGCCTTCTGGGGAGGCGGATCGCTGGGGTGGCATCCTACCCTGCCGCTTACACTGTGATCCTGGCGGATCAGCATGGCATCTCTGTGGTGGATCTAAATCATCCTCAAAGTGGGAATGATGTTAACCCCTCCCCTGTGCTGCTGATGCTGGGAGGTGTCGGCATGGAGAAGACCCCCGTGGGGGACCTGGGGCTGTGTTGGCAGGCAGGGCCACCTGTGCTGTGCTGCCTCCTGCTGGACCTGAATAGGGAGGCTGGAGTCCTGCAAGTGGGGTCAGCACCGTGGGCCCCACCTTCTCGTGGCCTGCAACATGGGCTCCCCACCTGCTGGGCTTGGGTGGGTTGGTTCTCCGAGGACTGGGTGCGCCCCGTAACCTCAGAGGCCTGAGCTGCTTGCTCCGGCTGGGCCCCCTGGGCAGAGGGTGGGGAAGGGCTCAGTCCAGCTCTGTTCTCCAGATGAGGAGCAATCTCTGATTGCCCGGGTCCCCGGATCCTGGCAGGGGAGTTAGGGGGACGAGGTCTTTCCAGACCTATAGCTGTGACTTTGGTCCCTGCTCTGTGGGCACCCTTTGCCCTCCCCACCAGGAGGGCCAAACACAGGAAGTGGGGAAAACAGATAAACCAAATCAGTGCATTCCACTCCACTCAGGCCGTAAACAGAGCGTCTAACATCACCAGTGGGCGTCATCGGGTGGAACCAGGAGAGCTACCACGTTCTGGCTCTCTGAGAGCTTCCCCATTGGCTGACCAAAAGAAAATCCACTTCCTTCCTGGGGCGGGGAGGGGGCTGCGTGGGGTGGGGGCTTCCCTGAAGCACTGTAGGGCCCCTTCATCTGGCTGATGTCCTCAGCCCCCCCGGGCCTCTGGCCATTCCCTGCATGTGGCCTGTCCCGGGCCTGGAATACTTTCCATCATGAACCCTCACTGGAGCTCCAAGGCCCCATGCCAGGACGGCCTCCTGCGTGTCTGGCAGTGACCTGCCCCTCCTCCTCCCAGCAGGTCCAGGTGTCCTCAGACCAAGGGCACTAAGGGTGAGGCAAACCCCCATCCATCAGGATGGGTCTGGGCTTGGCATCCTCTCCTCTAGCTTGCCCCCAAAGCTGGCAGGAACTTAGGGGTCATCCATTCCAGTATTTTCAAACTCTTATAACCACGACTGACGATGAAGCTTGCTTGTGTGTGTGTGTGTGTGTGTGTGTGTGTGTGTGTGCATGTGCATGCATATGTGTATCCCAGGAGCACTGAGGCCGGGCCTGCTCTGGCCCTGATCAGGAAGCTGGGGAGCAGCAGTGTGTGACCCACAGATACGGCCACGTGCAGCTTCTATTCCAGTGGGGGAGACAGACAAGTGAGCTGTGTCACATACCAATAGATTCCCTAGAGAAAAATACAGGAGGCAGGACTGGGGGCATTTCAGGGAGTCCCTGTGTGCAGTGTAGGCCATGCAGCCCCACTGAGTCCGGAAGGAGGTGGGAGCATGAGAAGGGACCTGGGGGAAGAGCATTCTGGGCCTGAGGACCGAGGCAGGAACACACCTGCACACCAGGAGTGTGCAGACAGCAGGGAGACCTGTGCCCAGAGTAGAGGGAGCGAGGGAGAGCATAGAGGATTATACACACACGTGTGCATGCACACACACTGCGAGAGGGCCTCAAAAAGTTCCCAGAAACACTCCACTATCTAGTCATTCCATGTTCCTGTGAACTGTGGGATGCTCCTTTGGACATACACTCATCAAAGACGAGGTGGTTGTCTGGAAATCAGTGTTGTAGGAAGACGGAAGATGATTGCATCGTTACATAACCGTCAAATCACATCGTCATAGAACTGCCAAACTGGTGGGAATCCTGGCCCAGCCACGTTGATGTGGAACCGTCACTGTCACCGCCAGTGCTCGTGGTCACTCCCGCCAGGCCTACCTCATCAGTGCACGGGGTAGCTGGATAACACACTGTTTGCCATTGCCTTAACGCGAAGTGTCAGCGAATGCGTCAACGCGAGGCGCGCCAGAAAGGACCCCCAAACCCACTGCCCTCGAGTCAGTTCTCACTCGGTGTGATTGTGTGTGTGTTTGTGCGTCTGTAAAACCCAATCAGAAGTGGAAAAAAACAAAATAATATTAAACGTGATTTTATTAGCTGTCTAATGTTAAAACATTCTCACACAAGGAATTAGCAAAAACAACCCACAATGTGATCAGGAATCTCCTTCCTAATTGGCTCTATGACCCACTCGGGGTCGAGAACTCTTCATTTGCAAGCCACTGACCTAATTCAGGAAATCCTGTATTTCCTTTGATAATCTGCCCTCACAGGGCAGTGTCCAAGGGCTCCGGCCTCTTCCAGGAAGAATCTGAAGGGTGGACTCACATCCAGCTCTCCCTCGGGTTCGCTGACTGTGGGATCGCACCGTCCCTTCCTGTCTCTGTGGCCTCTTGTATGAAAGGGTGGGGGCGGGGCGTGGAGGCTTTCCTAAGAAGCTACATTTTGGCTCTATCTCCGCAGAGGAGCCCACCAGCAGATGTTGGCCCATGGGGGTCCCTGGAGCTCCCTCCCGGGAGGAGAGCTGAGTCCTTGCTACAGTGGACCCTGTGGTCAGCACCGCTTAGATGAACTTGGGGACACCCACCCTGGGGTGGGCTGAGCTGGGTTTCGGCTGCAGTCTAGCAGCCAAGGAAGCAGCCTCTTGGTTCAATAGTTTTGTTCCTGAAATGGGTTCTGGGAATCCCCAGGCACAGTGGGAGAGGGATTGGGGTTTCCTGGCCGATGAGACTGGAATCGGTGTGTCCAGCTGCCTGCATGCTGGTCCGTCTGTCCATCCCCCCCGTTTCAGCTGTCTTCCTTCCCACACACCCCTCCGTCTCCCTAACATTGATCGAGCCCCTGGTAGATGCCAGACCCTGAGCTGAGCTGGGGTGGGCTACACAGACTCAGACTGGGACTGACAGTGCTGTCCTCAGGCTGTGAGGGAACAGGAGCTCGCCACTCCTCAGGTGTTCCTCTCCTGACTCCATGCCCCGGGACCCTGCTGCGAGAACACCACTGATTGCCCACGGGGGCCACCCCCTCCTGAGGGCAATGTCTGGTGGGCATTGGCCAGGAATGCTGTTCACCGTGCTACAGTGCCCAGGACCCAGCCACCCCCACCCATGGCTGCTGACTCAGAGCAACCTCATCGGACAGAACAGAGCTGCCCCACAGGGTTTCCAAGACCATGTCTTTCCAGGGCAGACGACCCCATCTCTCTTTGGGCAGCTGAGCACTTCACCACTGTGCCACCAGGGCTCCTTGGCAGCACCCAGGACAGCCTCATGTAGCGGAGAACTACGTGCCCAGGAATGTCAGCTGTGCCAGGGCGGCCGGAGGCCCCTCGAGGAAGTGGCAGACCAGCCCTGCAGACTCCGGGAGCCAGACCAGACTGCCCTGGATTCTGGAGTGGATTCCTACTTGGTTGGGCACAGACTGGCAAGGAGACCGGGGGCCTCGGTGGGTGACATGGATGGATAGGGGAGGGCTGAGGCAAGGCCCTTCAGGCCAGAGAGCTCAGTCCTTCACGCATTTAAGGCCAGCTCTGAGTGCCCACCTTGTTCGGCCAGCCCTTTCTCGGAATGGAGACCCTGGGTCAGGAGGACAGTTAGGATAAAAAAGTCAGCAGCCCCACCCCTCAGTCTGCACCCACAGAGCTGAGAGCAGGTGTTCCCATGCAAGTCGGGACAGGGATGTTCCTAGCAAACCTTGGCCTCTGAGCCAGAAAGGGGTGACCTATCCACAGGCCCCTCAACTGGCGATAGACACATAAAAGGGGGCACCCCCTTACGCTGTTGGTGTCAGCCGCTCTCCTCCCAGTGTCCGACCTCCAGCACCAGACCACTGCTGCCCCTGTGTCTACAATGGAACACCAGGGAGCTTCAGGAAGTTCATGGGAAAAACAGACTTGGAAGGTAATGGGTTTCCCCACCAGCTGTTGAAGCCCCCTCGCACGATCAGCCACCAGAGGAACCGCACGCCCTGCCATGGACTGGAGCAGGATGTGACTGCTGAGAGAAGACAGGTGCAACAGGCCGCCTGCAAGACGATGCCGTGTGCCTGCAGGGCCCAGCGCAGACAAGTGCACAGAGACAGCAGCTGAAAACCGGAAAGCAGCCCAGCGTCACGAGTTGGCACAGGGACTGAAGGAACCCGCCCGGGGCTGAGACCGAGATGGGAACAGGGCCCGACTGCTTGAGTGGAGCCTCGAAGGAGCAGGAGGAGGCTGGAGCCCTGGAGGCGAGGCCCAGTCTGGAGAAGGCTGGGATGAGGGCCTGGGAGCAGACTTCCGTGCTGGATCTGGCCCTGGGCCCTGCCCCCGAGAGTGGGCTCCTGTCAAGCTCCACCTCTTTCTGGATGACTGAGCTTCCTGCGACCATGCATCCCAGGTGGCGTGCACTCCGCAGACCGTGCTCCGGCGTGTTCATTCACATGTACGCAAGACACAAGGACACGAAGGCTTGTTAGGTGCTGTCGAGTGACCTGACTCCTAGCCACCTCGGTGGGCCCTGGACGAACCAGAACAAAACAGCACAGAACCCAACCCTGCCTGGGCCTGCCCTTCCTCACCTTCGGTGCTATGTTTCAGCCCAATGTTGCAGCCACTGTGTGCATCCGTCTCCTTACGCGCTTTCTTCTTCCTCAACAACCCTTCACCCAGCCTGCCGCCCTCTCCCCAGGGACCGGTCCCTCCAGACAGCATGTCCAGCGCGAGACGGTCAGATTCCTCGGGTGGGAAATGCCTTGGTTCTCGGCTTCCCACGAGAAAGACATTCACACCGAAGTCTGGTTTGTGATCCAAGTGGGGTTTCTTGTTTTTGTTTTTTTATAAAGAATAGAAGAAGTTTCAGGTCTTGCAGTCACTGAACATGGGACTGACCCCCCACACGTGGTGACCTGGGGCCCGAGAGAGACTGAGCTCGCCCGAGAGGAAGGCCGAAGAGGCCGGTGGTCTCCAGGTTCCAGCTTTAAGGGATTTCCAATGTTTGGTGTGGTTGATGTACTGGTTGACCCCATTGGCTGAATGAAGCCCAATTGGCCTACATTGGGCGAATCCAGGTGTACCGCCCACCTAGGTGTACTGCCCCGGCCTGGCTCAGGCCCTGAATTGGTGCATGCCCAGTGACACCCCTGGTCTCTGTCCTGCTACCCAACAAGACCACGTGTCACCATCCTTTCCTCTAAGGAACATTCTGACTACTTTTTCTAAAGCATTTCTTGGTTCTTCTAGAAGTTTCCCAGTGTGTTTAATATTCTTCACCAACATCCCATTGCTCTCCAGTCTGCCCCCCTCACCGTCCAACTTTCTTACCTGCCTATGAGGTGGCGGAAAATGCCACGGCTTGGGTCAGGCACACCTGAGTCCCCCGACGGACGTCTTTGCTCTCTGACACTGTACGGAAGCCTTTCGCGGCAGATTTGCTCCGTGCGATGCACCGTTTGGTTTCTGGATCACTGCTCCCGTGGGTGTTGCCTGTGGATCCAAAGACAATGAGTCCCCGAGAGGCCAAATGTTTCTGTGTCTCGCGGTGTGGCCCATGGTTCAGTCATGAGGATTTCTTTTTCCTTTACGGCAGCGGTTCTCAACCTTCCTCATGCTGCGACCCTTTCCTACAGTTCCTCATGTGGTGGGGACCCCCAACCATCACATGATTTTTCCTTGCGACATCATCACTGTCATTTTGCTACTGTGATGCATCATAATGCACATAACTGATATGCAGGATGTATTTTCATTGTTACAAATTGAACAACATTAAAGCATAGTGATTCATCACAAAGCAATATGTCATTCTATATTGTGAAATATTTATTTCTAGTGACAAAGAAATGAACTTTTGTCTTGAAGCATGGTGTAGCGTGGGTAGCAGTTTTCATGCCGGGTACTGGTATGTGGGCGTATCTGCATGTGGGCGGACCCACCTGGAGATGGATAGAGGCACGGTGTCTCAGTTCCTAAGACCATTGGAAATGTGTGTTTTCCGATGGTCTCAGGTGACCCCTGTGAAAGGGTCATTGGACCCCCAAAGGGGTCGAGACCCACAGGTTGAAGACTGTGGTCTTGACTCTTCATCAGTAAGTGCTTCTACCCTCTCAGTAAGCAAGGCAGCGGACCAGGGTGCTCCCAGACACATGCCTCGATGCACTTATGCATTTGAGCTACCCCCCCCCCCCATACAAGAAGGCATTTATTCTGATGGCGATGCCGTCCCCTCCTCTGCCCCATCACCTGCTTAGAACGGGAACCCAGTGGCAGACGCTCAGGCTCTGCAGTTAGACCCTCCCTGAAGCCCCCAGCTAGTCCCCTGGTGGCAGCCCTTGCTGACCTCAGCCTGTTGCCCTCCCCCCCCACCATCCCCTCCCTGGAACCTTTACAACCAGTTACCATCCAGTGGCCTCGGACTCATGGCAAGCTCCTGGGCCATGGACTCAGTGACCGGCTGCCAGGCCTTTCTCTGGCGGTGCCTCCACCAGCCTTTTGGCTGGCAGCCAAGTGTGTTGACCATTCGCAGGACCCGGGCCTCCCTGACTTTGCTCTGCCCGTGACCAGACCTCAGGACCCACAGCCTGCCTGATGGTGCCCCTCTCTGTTCCTCACACCTCCCCAGGAGATCAGCTGGTGTCCAGAGCTCCAGACCCACCCTCCCCAGCGGAGGGAGACGACCCCGGAGAGGCCTTTGAGTTTGATGACAGTGAGGAGGAGGGCTTGGCGGTCCCAGTCACTGCTGCCACAGAAGAGGGAGACCCCCCACCGACCGGCTCCCGCTCCGGCTCTGACTCCGCCCCCATCTCGGGTGAGGATTCTGGGAGCCTCCCACTCCCCGTTTCGGGGGGGGAGGGGGGGCTTTGGGCCTACAGAGCTCAGAGGATGCCTGGGGGCCCCTCCCTTGGCCCCCGGAAGCGGGTAGGGAAAAGCCATTGGGAGGAAGTTGCATTCCCAGTCTCTCCTGGGGATTGGGGGTTCCTGGCATTCCTGCAACATCTGGCCCCCCTGGCAGTCCAGACAGTTGCTGCCCAAGGCTGTGCTCCTTTGCCCCTCCCCCAGCAACGGTTCTCATCGAACGCATCCTCCCTGTGGTCCCCCTCCTCCTCCAATCTGTCCTTCAGAGCCAGTGGGGGTGGGGTGGGGGGGTGGGGGGAGGGCGCAGGAGGGAAGCTGGGCAGAGGCCTGAGATAAGGCTGGTGTTAAATGGCAGCTTCTGGGCTTTTGATTCTGTCATGGGAGAGACTCTGGGGACCGGATTAGCAGGAACTTCCTGCAGGCTGGGGGACAACGTGCTCCTTGAGGACCTGCAGGTGGGGCAGGCCCACAGCAGGCTGCATGGCTGGTTCTGCTTGGAGTTGGGATGTGGGTGACATGGGTGGGGATGGGAGGTGGAACAGGTAGGGGAGCTTAATGACTATGGCTGGTAGTCTCTCCGGGCATGGGGGCAGGAGGTGGGGCCTAGCAGGGACCCAGGCCGGCCTAGTCCAGACTCCATTCCCCGGGGAGGCTGGGTAAGGGGGCGGGAATAGGCTGAGCCCATCGGACCAGCCTCCAGCCTGACTGCCTCTGCTCTTCTCCCACAGCCCCGGGCCCAGCGGCTGCACCACCCCAGACACAGTAAGTGAGCCTGGTCCTTGGCCTGGGTGCTTGGCCAAGAGGAAAGAGGTGGCAGGGGTGTGGGAAGGCTGGAGCCGAGGTCAGTGGCTCCGGGTGGGCAACTCTTTGGCTGAGGAGGCAGGCACTTCCACGGGCTCCCGGGCCTGCAGGGAGAGGCTCCATCCTGCACCTCTCCTGACTGTCTCTGCTGTGCTGGGGAGCCTGCGAAACAGCAGAAAGCAGGTCTGGCTCCCTCGGTAGCTGAGTGACCCTGGGGGAGTCACTTTCACTCTGGGGACCTCAGCCTTTCCAGGGTCCCTGCAACCCCCCCGCTGGGCCCTGTGGCGGTAGACGTGTGCTTTGGTGTGTGTCCAGAACAGCCCCTGGCCGGCTGGAGCGGAGGCCATTTCCATCCCTGTCCTCAGGACTGTGACTGCTGCCCTTGCACACCCAGGAGCCCAGCAGAGGGCGGGCAGGCTGCATGATGCTTAAGAATCTGGGCTCTGAGATCTTCGCCACGGGTTCCCTCCTGCCCACCCTGGTGTAAGGCAAAGGCCCCTCAGGCGTGGGCTTCGGCTGTAAAGTGGCCCACAGACCGCCTGAGTAAGAAGCAGCGCCTGCGTGTGCGGCTTGTCACTGGTCCCGTGTGGTCTTCCGCTTGGGACGCCTCTCGGGTTGGGTCGTGCATTCAGGGATCCAGACTCCTAGGAGAGCTGCCCCTGGGGGGCTCTGAGGCTGCACATCCGCAGGGGCCAGCAACATCGAAGCTTCTCGACACTCTACCCCCTGCTCCGTCCTGCCCGGCCCGCCTGCACACGTGGGTGTTCTGAGCGAGGTGCAAAGTGGTGGGTTTGAGTGTGTTTCAGGCCCTGGCTGCCTTGGCGGTGGTGGCGGTGAGAGGGTGGGGGGGAGCTGGGGGCTATTGTGTCTGCAGCTCCCTTTGTCCTCCAGGGAGGAGACTCACACTTTCCCAGTGAATGAGCTAATTCCCCAGCAGGTGGGGTGGAGGAGCTGAGGGGGGCCCAGACTGCCCATCTCAGAGACAAAGACCTCCAACCAGGGGATCACAGACAGGAGGGGAGGGGAGGGGAGCGGATCATGGGTTCCATCTGTGCTCCTAGCTGTCTGTGATGGGTGGGCCCTCAGAGGGTGTCTATAATTAGGGCCAGAATTAGGGACCTGCCTTCCCTCTGATGAGAGACCTGCGATAGATCAGTCACGTGGGTGGACCCTGTGCCTCTACCGTCTCTGCAGGGGCCCAGGGGTCGAAGTTCTCCAGGGTATCTGGCCTTGTGCTGGGCGGGGGCTGCCGAGAAACTTGGTCAGGGGGCGGGGTTGGGGTAGGGGGTGTGCAGGTTGTGAGGGGTCACTGGCTGGAGGGTGGGGGTCAGGCAAGGCTCTGGACTCGGTCTTGGGCAGAACTGGTGAGCCAGAGGGAGGGGCGTACAGCAGGGGAAGCCACTGAACAGAGACATGGTGGGGTTGGGTGGTGTGGGGTGGGAGTGGGTGGGTTCTGGGTTGCAAACAAGGGGACCCCTCTCTGGGCTTGGCAATCTTGGTTCCCTCAGCCACCTGCTAGAGACCCCAGACCTATACCCCAACCCTGGTGTGAACAGCAGGGAGCATGGTGCCCGCTCTTCCCACCCCTGCTCTTCGACTCTAGCGCGCAGGTCCTCTGTGGCAGGAGGCCTGTCTCCTGAGCTCAGCCTGTTGGCTCCCCAGCCAGATCTTGGTTGGGCTGGGGCCCAGCGCCCTGCTGTGTGACCCCTGAGAGGGCAGTGGTTTTGATCGCGGGAGGTGAGGATAGCCGAGTGGCAGGGCTTTCTCGGCTCCCCTTTAACCATCTGCCTACTGTCCTGCAGCTCTTCCCACTGTCCCACATGGGCCCAGGCTTACCCCAGCTCCCTGGAGCCCCAGAGTTTAAAATCCCCACCCAGGCCCTCACCAGTCAGGTGCTTGGGATGGCCATGGGCCTCTCTCAGCCTCAGCTTCCTCATCTAGCAGATGGTAATAACGTTGTCCACCTTGGGGTGTTGGGAGGAGTAAGCGGGTCCATCTAAAGAAGCCACAGCCTGTCCCTGACCCCCACACAATGCTCGTTTCTGCCCCTACCTCCCATCCCATGGGGCAGGCAGAGTCTGTGTAGCCAGTGCCTCAGACCCGGGGGTGCACTTGGATTGCTGGGGTTGGACATCTCACCAACAACCAAAATCTACAACCATTGAATTGATTCTAACTCAGCGACCCTGGTGGCTTAGTAGGTTAAGCATTGAGTGCTAATTATAATGTCAGTGATGTGAGCTCACCAATCGCTCGAGGTAGAAAGATGAGGCTGTCTGTTCCCGTACAGATGTACAGCCTCAGTTCTACCCTGCCCCATAGGGTGGTTATGAGTCACTGGCTGTAATCCTCAGGTTGTGACATCAGTGGGTCATTGGTCAAGCATCGTGTGCCCACTGCCCAGTCCTAAGAGGCCCCCGTTGCAGCCCCTTCATCAGGAGCACAACTGCAGAGTCCTGGCGCAAACCTGCCTCGACCCCACACTGTCCGTCCCGGGCTCTCTCGCCGCTCCCTCTCCATTCCCCACCCCAGGTCTCCCTCCTGCTTCCCGGTGGGGATTTTCCACTCCACTCTGGAGGCTTCTGGGGGGAATAATCAGGCCAGATCACTTTCTCCTTCCTTGTTATTCAAGAGCCAGAAAAAATAAAGTTAGATTTTTTTTTAAAGTATCCCTCAAGGTGGTCACTATACAAATATCAAACACATCTCAGCCTGGAGGGTTCTTACTCTATGGCCCTGCCTCTCCAAATGCCCTCACTCCCATTGCGCCGCAGCTAGTGAGGGAGGGTGGCAGGGCCAGTCCGAATGCCCACCTCCCCCCGGGGCTTTGAGTCAGGGCTAGAATCCAGGGCTGTGAGGAGCTGGGGTCTCAGCCCTGAGCCGCCCAGAGCTGGGTGCCCATCTTGGCCAGACTGCTCCAGGTCCTGCCCCGAGCCATGGGGATGAGGAACACTTGTCCTGCAAGACTCTGCAAGGAGTAAGTAAGCTCCAGGGGCACTTTGCTTACTCCCGGGCCTGCCTGTGCCGCCTGCCTTGCCCACGCTGTCTGCTGCTTTTCTGAGTCTGGCTGGTTTGAGAGGGGTCAAGCTGGGCTCTTAAAGCGGGGTCCACTGGGCGGATAAAAGCTCAGCTGCCATCCAGAAGGTTGGCAGTGAGGAGCCACTAGCAGCTCTGTGGGAGGCAGGGTGGCCTCAGCTCCCAGGAGGCTCATCATCTTGGAAACACTGTGAGGCCACTCTACTCTGTCCTGTAGGGTCCTTTGGAGTTGGAATGACTGTGGGTTTGTTTTTGTTTCAGCTGGCCTCTTTAGGGGCCATCGGTCATTCAGTGGTAAACCTCTTGCCTTCTAGATGGGAGTCCTGGGTTTGGTTCTAGCCAGGGCACCTGGTGCACCTGTCTGTCGCTAGAGGCTCACCTGTTGCTGTGATGCTGAGCAAGTTTCAGCAGAGCTTCTAGGAAGAAAGGCCCAGTGTTGTACTTCTGAAGATCAGCCCCTGAAAAGCCCGGGGGTCACAATAGCTGGAGCCTGCCCCCCATGGGATCGCCCTGAGTGGGGCTGACGCAACGGAACCTAACAATGAGGACAACAGTCAGACTGTGTCCCTGGGAGGCAGACACAGTTGGGTTTATCAACCTCTCTCACTTATCAGCCGTGTGGCTCGGGCCAGCTACCCCGCCCTCCAAACCTGTTTCCCTGGTCTGCTCAGTGCAGATACTCACACCTGCTAGGTGGGTGGCTCCGGGGTGATCCAGGTAGATCGGCAGTCTCGGTGACCTTGATTGGCACTTAGGAAGCTATATTGGTGAAGGGTGCGTCGGTGGCTCCTCTCTGGCTTTGAGGCCTATGGGCTGTTCCGTCCGGGGCCACGCTTGGCTGTGTCAACAGGAGGAGGCTGCCAGCTGGGCCAAACAGAGCTGCCGATCAGTTGAAGGGAGATTAGGGTGGATCATCACAACCGTCCTTGGTCGCAGCCCTGATTCCGGTGTAAATGGACTTTCCCTGTGATGTGGCGTGGATCAATTCTTATTGATCAAAGGGGGGTAGGGGTGGGACCTGACTACACCAAGAAATGAAAAGTGGGGTCCCTAAGCTGAGAACCTCTGAGACCCAGGGGAAGGCCGATGCCAAGGCATGTGGAGCTCTCCAAGGAACCCTGAGTCCAAAGATGTTACAAGGAGACCAGGACCTTTCCTTAGACCCCACAGAGAGGGAAAGCCTTCCCATGGAGCTGGCCCCCTGAATTTGGACCTCTGTCCTCGTAACCACCACCCCTTAAGCTAGTGAGGAAGAAATAGACGCATTCTATCAACTTCTTTTAATCTGAACTTGATCAAACGTGCAATCCAGATGTATTGATAGCTGTTGGTGGTTGGAACGCTAGAGTGGGAAACAGGGAGAGGAACGATCGGTGCGAAGTACAGCCTTGGTGAGCTTGAAATGCAGCTGAAGATGCCTGACAGGCTTCTGTAAGACCAGCGCTTCTTCCTTGCACGCCTCCGACAGCGTCACAGCGACTGTGCGTGCAGGCCGCATTGGATGGAAGATGCAGGAATCAGGTGAGTCAGGATCGACGAGTTGGCAGTGAGTGTGGTTTTTGGTGGGAAGAGACGATGGAGAAACTCACTATCAGCAGCCAGAATCAGGCCGGCGACTGACTGTGGAGCAGACCATCAATCGCTCACCTGGACGTGAAGGTTGAAGTTGTAGAAAATTTAAACAAGTTCACAAAAGCCAAAATAGGACCTTACGTCTATCTCACCAGCGTTTTGAGAACATCTGAAGAACAGATTTGACTCCTGGAACACTAATGACAGAGACCTGATGAGCTGTGGGAGGACACCAGGAACGGCACCCAGGAAGAAAGCAAAGGGCCTTAAAGACGAGAAAGAACCGAGGGGAATGTGAGGAGAGACTGACACTCTCGTTTGTGGAGAAGCTGGAGCAAATGGAAGAAATGATG